AGTTGTGTTGGAGCACTGAATTGTACACATACAATCAACGTTTTCCAGTAAATCGGCCGTTTCATTAGAGAACTACACCATTCAAGTGTATAGGAATATCCCACAAGGAAAGTGGACCGACAACGAATCAACAAAACTTTACCAAGTATTTCCCGTTCACTGTGTCAAACGCGTCAAAAAGAAGGAAGAGCTTAGACAGCAATGAACGTATTTAGTGAAAACCAGGGTTTACTACAAATAGAGGAGTAACAAATTCATTTATTTTGTCTAATCATGATTTCTTCTTTTAGAGTTATGAATAAATTAATTTTAGCTGCTGCGTAAGTAAAATTCAAGTTTTCCTTAAGCCTGGCTTTTATATGTCGGGAAAATCCCAGACGATCGGGGTTTTTACTGTTTCCCAACTGTTCCATGAGCTCGAAATCGTAGATATCCCCGATTGTCTGGTATGGACAGGGACAAATCTGGAGAATCAGGAGCGTTTCTATTTTCCCGACGCCTCCCAGATTTCTGCGATGATCGGCGATCATTCCTGACAAATGAAAACTCAAATTTGTACCGTCGGAGACCGTCGGCGATGGATTTGGCTCATTACCAATCCTCTAAATTGCCGGGCTCCAGTCCCCCTATCACAAATAAACATGGCGTCTCTGGAGAATGAAAGAGGACAGGACAGGCTTCAAGGACAGACTTCTGGTGATTATCCGATATATCGGCAAAATCTGGGACGGTCGGCGGAAAGTAAAATCCCCGATCGTCTGGGATTTCCCCGACATATGAAAACCAGTCTTTAGATTATGTGTATTTCAAGACTGTCAACCCTTTACGTAATACTCTTAATTTTCAATATTTTTCATCAGTGAGGACAGAAAGTGAACGTGCTGAATGTGCTGATTTAATTTGCCTTTCTATTTGCAAGATCTTTAATTGTTCTTTGACTACAGGTATATTCCCAGATGACAGGAAATGTGCTAAAGTTACTCCTTTATTCAAACAGGGAAGTTCGAGTGACATGAACAATTACCGTTCCATTTCTGTTATCTCTGTGGTGGCCAAGGTAGTTCGAAAGACTAACGTACGATCGAGTGTACGCGTACCTATCAGAACATAGCATTATTTCAAAAAGTCAATCCGGATTTCGCTCTATCCATTCTACGGTCACTGCTCTACTAGAGGCGACCGATAGCTGGGCTTTTTATATTGATTGTGTAAACGTTAATGCTGTAGTATTTCTAGATTTAAAAAAGGCCTTTGATACAGTAGACCACACGATATTACTGTCTAAATTAAGTACCTAGGGAATTCAAGAAAATGCTTACAATTTGTTTAAATCAAGCTTAGAAAACCTAACTCAAATTTGTTCTGTTAGTGGTTCACTTTCCAAAACCTCCCCAATGTGGTATCCCTCAAGGGACTCTATTGGGTCCTTTACTGTTTTTGCTATGCATAAACGACTTACCAAATTGCTTAACTAACTCTTATCCTAGAATGTATGCCGATGACACGCATCTTTCCTACGTTGATAAAGATTTGAATATCGTTCAGTCCTCTTTGAATGAAGACTTGCTAAATATCAGCAAATAGCTGATCGCTAACAAACTCACACTTAACATGACCAAGTCTGAATGTATGTTATCTGGCTCGAGACAAAAACTAAACGCCCTAACTGCCTCTCCCGTTCTGAGCATCAATGGTACTCCCGTAAACCAAGTATGAACGTCAATATCTCTAGGTGTACTCATTGATGCAAACCTTACCTGGGGCAGTCATATCGAGAAGTTGGCCAAAAAAATTGCCTCTGGTGCTCCAGCTATCAAACGGGTCAGACAATTTGTTCCCCCAGCAACATTGCATCTTATCGACAAAGCCTTGATTCAGCCGCATTTCGACTATTGCAATGTTGTTTCGGGAAGCTGTGGCATAAAACTAGCGCGGTGACAAAATTCAAAAACTCCAAAATCGTGCAGTGCGAGCTCTAACTTTCTCAAGCTATGACGCAGATGCATCGCAGCTGCTCCAAAATTTAAATTGGAAACATCTTAGTACTCAGCATGATATCCAAAAAGTCTTAATGGTTTTTAAATCCCTTAATGGCCTTGCTCCTGAGCACCTAAGCTCGAAATTTATTGCTCGATCCAAAACCACTTCATACACTTATCAAGATTCTGTAAATAAACGAACTACAGTATTCCACAGCCACGCACTAATTATCTCCGTAATAGTTTTCACTACTGTGGTGCTGTTCTGTGGAATAGTCTTCCTTAAACTTTAAGGCAGGCAGAATCCCTAAGTAATTTTAAGTCACTTTTGCACAGCTGTTATAATATCAATTATTATTCATTCAAAATATTTCCCCCATTCTGATTGACTAAAAGCACACGTTTAATTCACCATAACCAGTTACTGATGACCAAATTTGGAAGAATTTTGACTTTAACGAGGAAATGACGTCAAAAATGCAGCGTTTTCGCAGGTTAAGGCACCGTTAACCGAGAAGACCTGGGCACGAGGTTGAGTTGTTTTGGTTGTGAACTTGAAAAAATGGCGGACATTTCACTCGTTTCAAGAGTAAGAACTAGGCGAAAAAATAGCTAAAATCATGGCAAGAACAGCAAGAAGACAACTCGAAGGGCGACATCTGCTATTTGGGGAATATTTGCGGAGCTGGACAAACCTAAACGTACACTATCGAGGATGAACTGAACATCGATGGATCGATGGAGGTAAGCATGTTTTAGTTACGTTTTTAAACTAGGAATTATTTTGAATGAATAATAAAACAGTTATTGAATTCGGCTTTCGTATCATATGAAGAATTATGGAGATCAAGGAGGGTGTTATTCGCCTCGGCCTACGGCCTCGAAGGATAACACCCTCCTCGATCTTCATAATTCTTCATAAGATACTCAGCCTCATTCATTAACTGTTAAGTAACGCACGGCATTTATGGAAACAGGCTTTTTTTTATTTTTTATTTTTTTTCGTATATACTTGATTGAATAATTTTAATAGTCTATTTAGCAAAACCCAGTAGATGTATTTAAGGTTTTTGAAATTTTTGTATTTCGTGCCTGATGAATCTGTACGACCGTGGATAAATAAAGATTACTTACTTACTTACTTACTTACTTACCGGTACTTACTATAAAGTAAGCAATAAATTATATTCAGCAATGACACATTTTTGTCTGGTAAAGTTCATTGAATTATCGAACAACTTATTGCTGCCAAAGAAGAATGAATAAGTCAATTGTCTCTGAGACATAGACAGACTGATTTTTAATGGCTGCAAATTATATTTCTTAACTCTGGGCTAATTATATCATTTTTTCGCAGTATTCTAAGTGTACCAGTGTACCAGGGTGGCAAATGGGGGTGGAGGTACCTATCACGCATCACGCCGACTTTTTTAAGCTATCACGCATCACGGAAAAATAAAATAAAATATTAACTACATTAACAATTAGTATATACACACTCAGTGATCTTGGTGATTTAAGCAATCTGATTGGTTCGCTATCTCGGACTATTCAACAATATTCACCTCCTAGCGAGTGGATAATGTGTGAGCTCGGTGTTTTTCCCGTTTTTTTTAGAGAACGATCTTTTAAAAGTCGACAAAATCCTAGGGCTGACTTTTTTTAAGGCAAGAAAAGACTTGGAAGGATTCAATACGGCGTTTTTCAATTTACTGTAGCAGGAGTTTTGTGCTCGATGGATTGTTTACAACTCCCGTGTATTCGCGTAGAAGAAGCCGTTTCGTGAACTCAGCGTTTTCTAAGAAGAAAATTTTGGCTCAAAAATCGAAGTTTATTTATGACAAACAAATTTAAAAGGAAATGTTTGCAGAAATTCTACATTTCAAGTAAACAGGAAAAAGAATGATACAGGAAGACGACCTCTTACCTCGAGCAACCGAGCCGCCATTTTTGTCAGCACTTCATGCGAAGAACGACACAACATGCCCTTTTGGCTATAAACTTGGCGAGTCAACAGAAAACAACACAGCTCTACTTTTTTTCTCAGGTAAGGAAACAGTTCAAACTTTTAGCGATTCCATTGAAGCCATTGCGCTGTTGTTTGCGAAATGAGTAAACTTGTGAATTGCCATGTTTGAAAATTCCGCAAAGATCTATTTTTAAACTTACGCGTGATTTGATCTGTCAATCAAATCCTACTTTTGAATGGTTTCCTTTCTGATTTTGTTGAGATCACTTCGTGTGTATATACTAAAACAATTATTCTTCTCAATCTCGGTGAATAGTGGCTTTGGGAATATTTACCTCGCCGCTTTCGCGGCTCGGTA